AATATAACAGCATCAGTGTTCCACAGAGGACTTCCATATGTAGAAAGGTGATGGATCTTCACTGTCAAACAAATTCCAAAGCATCATTTGTGTGATATATTTTTGTTAAAAATAAATGGACTGCGCTCAAAACATTTCATATTATCAGGGGCACTCATAAGCAAAACAGAAAACAACAAAACTTATTTGAAAATTGAAGAAATATTCTTACAGCAAGAGATTTAAGAAGCTCAATTTATCTGATTTATCAGAAGCAGTGGCTTTATTACAGTATAGAACTACCTTTACATGAAGAAAATACCATGATTAACAAACTCTCTTATGTATTTCAGAAAGGCATAATAAGAACCAATCGCTGATAAATTCAGATAATAAAGAAACAAATTACAGGACTATGTAGCACTTTAAAAACTAACAAGATGGTTTATTAGATGATGAGCTTTCGTGGGCCAGACCCACTTCCTCAGATCAAATAGTGGAAGAAAATAGTCACAACCATATATACCAAAGGATACAATTAAAAAAATGAACACATATGAAAAGGACAAATCAAATTGTCCCTCACGGGGGTCTCAACAAAGACTCTAGCTATCTTACCCATTACAAAGATAGCTTCCCCAATTATCACCTCTAATAACATTAGCTCACAGACATTTACCTTCCCCTCCCCCGCATCTCCCTTCTGTTCTGAAATGGGATTTGTCCTTTTCATATGTGTTCATTTTTTTTAATTGTATCCTTTGGTATATATGGTTGTGACTATTTTCTTCCACTCTTTGATCTGAGGAAGTGGGTCTGGCCCACGCAAGCTCATCATCTAATAAACCATCTTGTTAGTTTTTAAAGTGCTACATAGTCCTGTAATTTGTTTCAGCTACACCAGACTAACACGGCTACATTTCTATCACGATAATAAAGAAGGTATTTAAAGAAAACAGCTAGTGTGATTAACTACTGGAACAAATTACGATGGGAACCAGTGAATTTCCCACCTCTTGAAAGTTTTCAGATCAAGAGCAGATATCTTTCTGGAAGATAAGTTTTAGTGAAACACAAGTTATTTGACTCAAACGAGGGTGGTTGGGTGAAAATTTGTAGCTTGTGTTATCATAGAATCATAGGACTGGAAGGGACCTCAAGAGGTCATCAAGTCCAGACCCCGCCCTCAAGGCAGGAGCAAGCTCCGTCTACACCATCCCTGACAGATGACTATCTAACCTGTTCTTAAATATCTCCAGAGAGGGAGATTCCACCACCTCCCTTGCCAATTTATTCCAATATTTGACCACCCTGACAGTTAGGAATTTTTTCCTAATGTCCAATCTAAACCTCCCCTGCTGCACTTTAAGCCCATTACTCCTTGTCCTGTCCGAAGAACTTTTCTTTATGCACCCTCTCCACGCCACTCATGCTTTTCATAGAATCATAGAATAATAGGACTGGAAGGGACCTCAAGAGGTCATCGAGTCCAGCCCCCCGCCCTCAAGGCAGGATCAAGCTCTGTCTACACCATCCCTGACAGATGTCTATCTAACCTGTTCTTAAATATCTCCAGAGAGGGAGATTCCACCACCTCCCTTGGCAATTTATTCCAATATTTGACCACCCTGACAGTTAGGAATTTTTTCCTAATGTCCAATCTAAACCTCCCCTGCTGCACTTTAAGCCCATTACTCCTTGTCCTGTCCTCAGAAACCAAGAGGAACAAATTTTCTCCTTCCTCCTTGTGACACCCTTTTAGATATTTGAAAACCGCTATCATGTCCCCCCTTAATCTTCTTTTTTCCAAACTAAACAAGCCCAGTTCATGAAGCCTGGCTTCATAGGTCATGTTCTCTAAACCTTTAATCATTCTTGTTGCTCTTCTCTGTACCCTTTCCAATTTCTCCACATCTTTCTTGAAATGTGGCGCCCAGAACTGGACACAGTACTCCAGCTGAGGCCTAACTAGTGCAGAGTAGAGCGGCAGAATGACTTCACGAGTTTTGCTTACAACACACCTGTTGATACAACCTAGAATCATATTTGCTTTTTTTGCAACAGCATCACACTGTTGACTCATATTCAACTTGTGGTCCACTATGACCCCTAGATCCCTTTCTGCCATGCTCCTTCCTAGACAGTCGCTTCCCATCTTGTATGTATGGAACTGATTGTTCCTTCCTAAGTGGAGCACTTTGCATTTCTCTTTATTAAACCTCATCCTGTTTACCTCTGACCATTTCTCTAACTTGCTAAGGTCATTTTGAATTATGTCCCTATCCTCCAAAGAAGTTGCAACCCCACCCAGTTTGGTATCATCTGCAAACTTAATAAGCGTACTCTCTATCCCAATATCTACATCATTGATGAAGATATTGAATAGTACGGGTCCCAAAACAGACCCTTGAGGAACTCCACTTGTTATCCCTTTCCAGCAGGATTTAGAACCGTTAACAACAACTCTCTGACTACGGTTATCCAGCCAATTATGCACCCACCTTATCGTGGCCCTATCTAAGTTATATTTGCCTAGTTTATCAATAAGAATATCATGCGAGACCGTATCAAATGCCTTACTAAAGTCTAGGTATATGACATCCACCGCTTCTCCCTTATCCACAAGGCTCGTTATCTTATCAAAGAAAGCTATCAGATTAGTTTGGCATGACTTGTTCTTCACAAACCCATGCTGGCTATTCCCTATCACTTTATTACCTTCCAAGTGTTTGCATATGATTTCCTTAATTACCTGCTCCATTATCTTCCCTGGGACAGACGTTAAACTGACCGGTCTGTAGTTTCCTGGGTTGTTCTTATTCCCCTTTTTATAGATGGGCACAATATTTGCCCTTTTCCAGTCTTCTGGAATCTCCCCTGTCTGCCATGATTTTTCAAAGATCATAGCTAAAGGCTCAGATACCTCCTCTATCAGCTCCTTGAGTATCCTGGGATGCATTTCATCAGGACCTGGTGACTTGCTGACATCTAACTTTCCTACGTGATTTTTAACTTGTTCTTTGTGTATCCTATCTTCTAAACTTACCCTCTCTCTGCTTGTATTCACTACGTTAGGCACACCTCCAGACTTCTCGGTGAAGACCGAAACAAAGAAGTCATTAGCATCTCTGCCATTTCCAAGTTCCCTGTTACTGCTTCTCCCTCCTCGCTAAGCAGTGGGCCTACCCTGTCCTTGGTCTTCCTCTTGCTTTTAATGTATTTATAAAAGGTCTTCTTGTTTCCCTTTATGCCTGTAGCTAGTTTGATCTCATTTTGTGCCTTTGCCTTTCTAATCTTGCCCCTGCATTCCCGTGTTGCTTGCCTATATTCATCCTTTGTTAGTTGTCCTAGTTTCCATTTTTTATAGGACTCCTTTTTTATTTTGAGATTATACAGGAACTCAGATTAGATAATCAAGAGGTCCCTTATTGGCCTCACATATCTATGAATCTATAAAATCAGGAAGTTGCTTAGGGACCATTACAAACTCTGAAATGTACAAACTGCTTCCGTTTTTCCCTCCTGAAGCTAGACTGTACATTGCCTCCCACTCTCTCATGCCAAACTAGGGAAAAAAGTCAATATGTTGCTGCCTTCAGGCAAAGAGTGGTGGACTTTAGGCACATGTTATTCTCTATTGTTGGATAAAATGATGTCACAAACCCAGGTATAATTGAATTACAGTGATCTTAATCCAGCTACACAAACTTCACCACGGCAAATCCAGAAACCTGAGTTCCAATCACCACTCCCAGTGAACTTCACTGCTTGTGTCTGAAGTTTTCAACCACCGTTTCAGAGACCATAGAACTTTCCCCTCTTGGGAGACCTTATACCTTTTAGTAAAGGCTACCCTCTGCTGACCTATGACTGTCTGACAGAGTCATCCTGCTATAACTTCGTCTGACTTCCCTTTCGATCAGCAGGACCAGAATGTAAGACAACTCAAACTTATTCCTCACCCCAACTCAGTACATCAGGATCTTGCAAATTTTAAAAGACTTCTCCACATTAGCAGCAGTTTTATTTGTCTAAGTTTGTCATGAGAGATCATTACCATGTAAAATGAAAGCCATTCCCATTTGATCACACAGGTCATTTCAAAAGTAATGTAGCCAATGTTTGCTTTCTACAAACTTGTAATCGGAGGGAAAATAAAATACTTTTTTTCCAAGGTGTTAAAGCCAAAACCAGTTTACTTTTAGTGGCAACAATTTTGCTGGAAACTGACATTAAACAAGCAGTATAAGATCCACTCATAAAATTATCATTTAAAAATAAAACTTTTATTTAGTATCAGTTTTACTTCCACTGTAGAAGCAGCATTCATTCTGGTCTTAACTCAGAAGAAAGCCTGCCCCTTTGTCTATCAGACAAATCCCCAAGGCACACTTCTGCCCCAATGTCTGTAACAAAACTGCCAATTAACAATGAGCTGAGGGACAAAGGAGGATAACCGGCATATTATTTTTTTATATATATGTATTCGTTAGACAAATAATTGCTGATTGTCATTATATATTATAGCTATATATAAATTGGATTTCTTTGATTTTAGTCCTCTCATATTACAGTCTAAGACAAATATCAGTGAAAGAATAAAGTCCCCCAAATATGTGTTTGCACACTCCCTAGCGCAGGGGTGGCCAACCCGCAGCTCTTCAAAGAAAAAAATTGCAGCTTCCGCACTCACAGCTCTGAAAGGGGCTGACACACAGAGCCAGAGTCACGGCATCCAGTGCACAATTTAAAAAAAGGTGGCAGACGGGGCTTTTTTTCCCCCCTCTGTTCTTTGAGTTGTATCCACCACTTTTTTGCACTTCATCTGTAACTAGCTGGCCACCCATGCCCTAGCCCATAGGCACTACAGTAATATAAATAGTAAGGATAACAATATGTTGAGATATCATGCCCTAGCCCATAGGCACTACAGTAATACAAGTAGTAAGGATAACAACATGTTGAGATACGGCATCACACTCATAACAGCAGCTAACTACTGTACAAAACAACCAACTTACCTGTGTAACAAGTGGTTCCAAGAGCCTCTCTACTGTCAGAGTCCTGATTTCCAAGCTTTTGGGATCCCATTTTAAAATGATAGGTGAAGTTGCAGAAGTCATGCTCCCTAGAAGAGAAAAACGTTACATGAAACTATGCAAATTATTCATAATTATTTTATAGATTACATAAAGAAAAGTATTTATATATTATGTGCACACAATATATACAACAAATATTCCTGCATCATATATCTCCCTCATAGTATAGTCAATTAACCGATTAACTGATAAGCAAAAGCTTATAGGTTAATGCTATAGACTACACGCATTTCCCCCCCACCCCTTTGCCAGTAAATTTTTGAGCAGGCTGAACAGCAGCCAGCCTCAGTTCCAGCTTGCACCAGGTCCAAGATCTACCCCTGCTGCGGCTCTGCATTTAAAGTGTATTAGGAGCCAGAAGGGCAGGCAGCCTGGCTCAGTCCTGGCTTCTGCCGGGTGCGGGACCTACCTCCGCTGCAGCTCTGAATTTCAAGTGTATTAGGAGCAGGGCAAGCAGGCAGCCTTGCTCAGTTCCAGCTCACACTGAGTCCAGCCCCCTGCTGCCACCCCACGCTGCTGGAAAACCAGACGCAGCAGTACAGGGCAACCAACAGCCAGTCTGCAAGGGCAGCTAGTTTTTAAACTGGCTCCCCTCGCAGATCAGCTCCCGCCTGACACTCCACGCTGCTGCCTCTGATACAGAGGCAGCAGTGCAGAGTGGCAGGGGGCTCCTCAGGAATAGTCAAGTAACCAATAAGAATTCACGAGGTTAATCGACTATTCAGTTAACATATTTAACATCTCTACTACATACACAAGACCCTAGCTAATTTAATAATATGTTTGAATTCATTAAGAAGCTCCCTTTCCCACTACATTCTCACCAAAGTCATTCTTCAACACTCACTTTTACATTTGACTGAGTTGCAGTGCTGCCAACTCTTGCAGTTTTGTCATTACTCTAGCAATATTTGGTGTTTTTCTCAAAGTTTCCACTCTTGGAAAAATGTAATTACATGAACACCTCCGCATTAGTTACAAAACAAAAAAGAAGTTTACAGCTTCCGCCACTGCAAGCAAAATAAATAAATAAATACATAAAAAAGCTTGAAAAAGTGAACAAAAGAGGCTCAAAACCCAGAATACATACCAAAAGAATGAAATGCACTATTTTTAAAACTCCCATGAATTGGTGAGGAGGGGCTAACTGAAAACTGCCATATCAAAATAATAAATACAGGCCCGGCCTTAGGGCAAGACAAGCAAGGTGGTTGCCTTGGCCCCACACTGTCCAGCACCTGCCTGCCTGGCTGCTCGCTTGCTGCCCTGACTGGGAGCTGCCCGGCTGGGAGGCGCAGCATGGAGTCTTGGGCTGAACACACTCTTTGGCCAGGCCTGAATAAATAATAATAAAAGTAGCCATAATAATGTTTTATGGTGTCTTGTATAGGTAAGATCATAATAATGCTTTCTATTATTTAAACAACAAGGAGTCCTGTTGCCCCTTAATGACTGATTCATTTGGGCATAACTTTTCACGGGTAAAAACGACTTCATTGTTTTTGCAGATACAGATTAACACAGCTATTCTTCTAAAACTTTCATATTTAATTAACCCAAAACATTTGAAAGTGTTTTCTTAATCCAAACTATTTACTGCCTTCACTAAACCACAGAGAAATATATTTGAGTAAGAAAGGAAAATTTAAACTTACAAAAGCAAATAGCACATACCCTGAAATATAGCCGTAAGTAACTACTGTAAATATTGCCAACAACCAGGCCACACCTGATGGAAGGATTTGAAATAGGAAAGGCTTGCACTGTATCATTCAGCTGAGTTGCTGTGTCTATTTGTTACCGTTTAAAATCACAGGGAGGTAAATGAAAGCCAAGGGCATTTCATAAGAGACAAGAAATTTTATCTTCACCGCACACTACCTAAAATACATAATAAGCCAATAGGAAAGCAAAGTGTAATAAAGCAGAACTTAACTAATCCATGTTCCTAAGAAATTTTAATACCCCAAAACAGTCCTTTTTCTTGTTTTCTTTGCAAACATTTTGCAAGCAAAATGCTGGTGCAAAGTCTTATTATTTAGATTTCATTAATATTTATGACTCCACCCACAATTGAACTGTTCTTTCCTGCTCATGGAAAAACATTGAATAGCTACCAGACTTTGTTTCTAGATGGTCCGAGGCATTTCAAGTAAATGGCATTGCTCTGTCCTCTTGAATGCATATGCAGCCAGAGATATTAAGAAACAAATCCATTAATTTCCCAATTGTCTCCCTCTGTCTCTAAACAATTGAAACATTGTAATGCAAAAGGCAGGTGGGTTACACAGGCAGATGTTCTGGATCGTTATTGGTTCTTTTTGTTTTTCTGGGGACAGGAGCAGAGTGACGATGGAATTATTTTGTGCAAGATATTACCACAACAATAATTTTTAACCATTGTTTTTAGTAAATCCAAAGGATGAATGGTATTTATACAAGTGCTCTAAATGAGCCAAAAAGGCTAAATAATAATCAGTGCATTACATCCAAACAGTAATAAAATATTTATAAGCATATGATCAAGATTCTTACAAAAAAGGCTATCTCCAGGAATGTTTAAACTCATGATGGTTAGCTCCAATGCAGTCAGACGGGTATTAGCAATGAATCGTGTACGAATTTTCCTTTTTTACAGCCTGTAACAAGCAAGTGTTTGTTATTGCCAATTACTGATTTCAGCTAAAAACCATTTGAGATAGTTCATCCTTATTTCTAGTCTTAATCCAGGTAAGATTTACAACCTCCTTTCTCCCCAAGGCCTTTCCTCCCTATCTCCTTCTTGCTGACTAACAGATTTTCTTTGCACCTGGGTTCACATATGCTCTAATTTTTTAGATAATATTGGTATGTTGGCTGGGAATATCAATGTTGACTCTTTTTAAAATTTATCTCTTGTATTTAAAACCATCTGCGGCACCCTTATTGTTCAGAGGCCTTCCTTTTAAAAACGTCCCATTCATTAATAATTCATTGAACAAAACTGCTACTAACATGTTTCAATCAGTATGACCAGACTACACAACATCTAGCAGAGTACACATTTCTTTAAGTTTGCTGGATACAGTATGTTAAGGAAAATGAAAAGTGTGCAAAAAACACTGATGGGAAATTCATTAATCTGAGTCTTGATGGGCTGAGCAATGCATTCAATGATCCAATAGTATGTGCCTCTGTGACAACATAAGATGGGACTGTCTATCTTACAGAAACAACTGAAGTATCAAGAAATCCCCATACAGCACACTACTTAAAAGTAGCAGCAGTAAAAGCTATAATAAACTCTGAATAAAAATTCAAGGGAGTCAGGAGTGGAACTCTGTCAGAGAGAATGCTGTAAATGTGGAAAAGATAAACAGAAGACGACAATGAAAGGAACCTGAAATTTGAAATATTCAAATATCAAATTCAAATATTTTATTCAAAGTTGCAAAACTGACAGCTACTCTTTATCTGGCAGTGAGCATCGACTGACTGCCTTAACTTTGTTAGTTAATTCTTCAAGTATCCAGATGCTTTCACAAAGTTTAACTTTTTTTCCTTGAGCAATTAATATTTAACATAAAATACGTGAAAATAAAAAGAGAAACCCAAAATAAACATCCTAAATAAAGCAACTAAAACAATAACAATTATTATTAAAATAAACATTTAAAAATAATTATAGGTATTCCTATAAAATACAAATAATAATACTTCTTACTTAAAATCTTTCAAAAGCTCAAAAAAGGCCACCAACTGGGTGGTTTAAAAACAAAACCCAACATAGCACAAACACACACACACACACAAATCAATATAAAACAATGAAGCCCAAGTATTAAACTCCTATTCAAAATAGGGGTCTGAATGGTTAATATCCCCCTTACTAGGTGATGCTTACTATTTATGGTCAACTGGCAGGATGCTCCAGCTCTGTAGGGCCTGGCGTACCACAGGCAGGGATGCTCCAGCCTAGCAAGATCAGCCTCCACCCCAGGCAGGACCACCCCCTCCTATATAGCCTCCAGGTATAGTCCTGGCCAGAGGCCACCGGAGGAGCAGCCACCTGTGAGACAGCTCTGGCCCCAGCAGGGGTCACCAAAGAAACCACCACCTGCCACACAGTCCACAGCTCCAGCCCTGGGGAAGGGCTCAAGCTAGGGCCAGGGTCACATGGTGGCTGCCCTACTGCTCCTACGGCAGGGCATCTGCCTACCAAGAGGCCCGACCTCAGAGCATCTGTACAGCTCTTCTCAGGAGGTGGGTGGAAGGCAAATTTTTGGTATGCGCTCATGCAGGCAGGCACCTTAGGTATTTACACCAGGGTTCCCTCTACCTGCTGAAGATGTTGATGCTGTATTTACCATGGTCATGCCAACTATAATAATTTTCAGGGCTTAAAGTGACCAACTCAACCTGTACACTCAACATTTCCTCAAAATGTTTTAAAGAAAGTAGCACTATTGAACTGGTGGAAATCACTAGCAAAGCATGTGGAACATGCACTAATTGAATTGCTAAACTAACTTCTGACAGCAGTAGTCTCTTCCTTCTTCAGCCACAGAAATAATATTGTCTTCACATAGATTAATTCATGTAGGTCAGGGGTGGCCAACCCATTACAGGCAAAGAGCCAAAATAGTGGTGGACATAGCACAAAGAGCCGCAGGAAGAAAGCTGTCAAGCCAAAAAAAAAAAAAACCAAAGACGCAACACTAACCCTTTAAATTAAAGCTCCGGGTTTGGCTTGTTGGCCACATCAGGCTCCCGTCAGCCAGCACCATCTTGCCAGCACATTTTGGGAGCATAGGGAACCGGGGGCCCTTTGTAGGGGCACAGGGGTAGCTTAACAAGCCATGAGGAATGCTTCACAAGCCACACTTTCTGCAGCGAAGAACCGCATGTTGCTCATGAACCGCGGGTTGGCCACCCCAAATTAGCTTATTGGACAACAAAATGGAAATTAATTTTAATGTTGATAAATGCAAAGTAATGCACATTTGAAAAAAATAATCCCAACAATACATACAAAATGATGGGGACT